AAACTAAGGAATGGGGAAGATGCATCTGTGGACATTCGTGGTAAAGGTCAGTCAAGCAAAAACAAAGGGAAAGATCACAAATCACAGAGATAAGACAAAGGTATCCATGTAGGGAAATAAAACCATTAAACAAATAACAAGAAAGATATGTGGGCCTGAGCTGGTTAAACTAACGTTTAACATAAAGGACAAGCCATAAAGGTGATAAAATGTGCAATGTGTCAGGGATATGCAAAGTATGATTAGCATAGGCTTACAAAGTAATGGAAATATATACATTTAAATAAGAAAAGAAAATAATAATCACTAAATATAAGAGCTCTGTGTTGCTTGCAAGTCCGGGTCTGGATAGATTTTAAATCAGGCTGTTGCCTATGGCAGTACAACAGAATATACAGAATATAACTGATATGCCTATGGCAGTACAACTGATTGGAGAAAGTATTAGCTGTGAAACCACACTAGGGCTATTACTATATTGGGAGAAGTTAGAACAATCAATCTAAACAGACACAATGCATGCTAGGGACTAGTCTACAATTGTGTAAGGAAATTGCCAACAATTTTACTCCTATACTAAAATTTTGCTGATCTACTGAAGATGCCAAAGTTAAGCAATTTATATTACCAAAGATACAACGTATGGATAATAGTCATGATCCTGTCCTCTCTAATACCTATAAACAATGCATGTTTATAGATAACATGTTAACTCTTTCTGATCCCTTTATCTCTCTATCTAATTTACAATGTATTCTTACCACAGTTAACATTCACAAGTCACAAATCCTCCCTTTAACTATTAAAATCTTAACACAATAATTTCCCTTGTAAAAATAACTATATACCGTAGTATTTTTAACCATTTAGCTTGTGGGAAAAAAACCTCTACTATAGTTCCTATTAACATTGAGGCAAATGGAATCAGATACGGGTAGATATGTTCTGTTGGAGTAAGACTGAATTATCTTGGCTGGGTAGACTTGCCTCAGTTAAAATTAATTTTATGCACTATACTTGTCTGAATCCCTGACTCCTGTCTCCAAATTATTCAGTCAGGGATAGATACATTTATAGCAGGTCAGTGATATTAGGTCAAAGAGGATCCTGCTCCCCTCCTCCGATATTTGTTCTAATAGCAGTTTATCCCATAGAGAATTGTTTAAATATCTGCAAATTATATATTTTAAAAAATTACACCTGGAACATGGTGACTCCCCCAACTCCTTGTCTGCCTCTCTAAAATCCTTTCCTATTAAACATACTGTAGGCCAAACAGAAATCTGCTATCAAATCTTCTTAGCTTAAATTAAATTCCCAGAATCGTGCTAATATTAAGCACATTGGGCCGCTGACCTACAACAGGAAATAACAGGAGGAGTGAGGGTTCTCAGTAGCTATTATGCAAGGTCTAAAGTATTGCTCGTCCAATTTTGAATTACTATATAAAATTGTGATGAGATGGTATATTGTGCGGATTGGTGTTGGAGAAGCCATAGGACAATAGGGAGGCCAACCTTCATATATGGTAGGATTGCCACCTATTAAAGATCCTTTTGGGTGACATCTTCCATTTGGCATCTAAGCTGTCTGGTTCATCTGTTTACCCCAATCCAGGCATAGCATTACTTGATATCATTCCCTCACTTTTCCCGAGATCATTAAAATATCTTGTGTGCCATTTTTTTCTGACAACTAAAAAAGCCATAGTCAGAAATTGAAACTCTACCTCTATTCCTTCCCTAGGCCATTTCTTAGATATTTTAAGAACTCACATATGTCCCGCATAAGGTGCATATTTTTCACAACATTTGGGTTCAATGGGAATCCCTTTCTATGATTTCAGATTGAGATGTGTGAGTTATACTCTTATTGCCTCAGTCATTTACCTCTTGTGGCAAATTATATTCTATGTATGGCTTGATCCTTACTATGCTTTGTTTTATAAATTTATGCTATATCGGGTTATTATTTTGCTGGTTATCTTTTTTGCGTGAAAATAACAGCATCAATGATGTGACTTGAAGCATGATCACTGCACAATGATATGCCTGTCTCACTGTTTCTGGTTATTGTTATTTCGATTGTCAACTTGATTTTATGGTAATTGTTATTGTCCGTGCATTGATGCTGAAACATTCTTCAATAAAAAAGTGAAAAAAATAACCATGTTTATGTGTGTATGTTCTTCTACAGTTAGTGTGAAAGGTGGATCGAGACTCCCATGGCATGATAGTTATTGCACATTAGTAACGGGTGAAGATACAAAAGGGAAATTGAGAAAGCAGATCTGGGCAAAACTAGCTAGAATATAATTGAAGAAAGATTTATTTGGACAACCTTGTGACAAGGTGTGGTAGGTCATATTTGGTGGGATGCCCAAAGGTGCCTCATGTTGTGGAGATGTAAATGAAAAGCACTCTCAGTAGTATTTAAGGTTTGTATGCATGAGTGAAATCTATTTATAATTACAGTTACCCAAAATGAACCACCTTCCAGCATCAGAGCTAAAATGAAGGAATTAATAATGTACATGCTTGTTTCTTGTGATTCAGACCTATAGATTCAGAGGCTATTTCTTTTTAGCAATAGATTGGCATGCCATCTTTTCAGAGGTGGTAGTATCATGTTAGGATTCAACTCTCCAATCCCAAGAATTTGTTCAGTTGGGATCCAGTGAAAAATAATCTATTTAAAAAACTGAAATTTGAGGACTGGAACTTTTCAAAGTGAAAGCTACTCAAATCCATCAAGATGGCGCAGTGTGAGATGTGTTGGAGTTATTTTTACATGTGCATGTGGATTATGATGGTCAAATAATCCTCGTGTCATGGCACATATGTGCTTCAAGAGTAACGCAGACATGGTGACATTGATACACCCTGGGCAACCATAATGATGCTGAGCTATAGATAGAGGAAGTCCTGAGTGGCCATGGCAGGCTGACAGGTGGAACTGTTTTCAAGCTGAGATGGAATATAGCTGGTCTGTTCCAGGAGTGCCAGAAAGATAGATACGCAGATGTTTTTAAACTTTAACTTCAACAAGGATTTGCCATTTTATTAGCCTGAACAGCATCATAGGAGTTGTAGTTCCACAACATCTGTGAACTCATGCTCTATACCAAGTCCTAGAACATACACAGACATACACATTCTCAGAGATACACATTCTCAGACACACTCACACATTCCCAGACAGATATACACATGTACACTCACAGATTAACAAAATTGGACATTATATTATAATCTGTTCGCCAGCGTTGCACTTAGTAAAAACCCAAATTACAATTATGGGGGATATTGAAAAGCTTATTCAGAGAGCACGGGGATAGAATAGATGGGTTCTTTGGAAATTATGTGATACAGCAGGGTGTCTGCTCAAGACCAAGTGGAGCACCTATCAAAGAGTGTTTAAGGTCTGTAGTAAGTAAGTGAGGGGAGGTGAGACAGCTTGCCCTCAAACTCTCCCTATTTGGAGTCCAAATCCCTCTGTCCTACTTTTCTATCGTTATGTCCCTCTTGTGTAGGAGCTGCATATTGTTGGTGTTTTTGAGTTTATTACAGAACTCAAAAGAAACAAAATTCTCGTTAATATGTCTTTAATATACAATATATGTGTTCAGTCATATTGTTCTAAATTCCATTTTAGTTGCATAAATTATTTCTAGAAGGTCACCTAAAATTTCACAGAACAGCCACAACCCCACGGGCATGATACAGTCATGGGGAAAAAAGTGTTTTACAGGGTTACTCCAATCCTTATTTTTAGTCTTGTTGCTTTAATGTATAATTCCATATTGGGCATTATACTTTAGGTCCCTCCTTAAGTGAAAAATAAGCTTAAAATGAACTTTTACTTACCTGGAATCCTGCGCTGAGCAAAGCTCCCACCATCACTTTCTATGCCTCTTTGTGAGATGTGTGCAGCCACACAAGGTCAAATTACAGGTTTATTATAGAAGCGATTGGCCGATTCACCAGCTCAGAGCGGGAGGAAGGGATTGGAAGGAAAAGGGAGGGAGGGTTTTTTTTAAAAAGAAAATTGTTTTGGCAATAGAGAAAAGCGGGGAAAGAGGGCAGTGGGTGGGAGAAGGGGAAATATTTTAACAGCTATTGCTAGCATGCATTGGGCGCTGATAACAGACGTTAAATATGCACAGAATTGACATTATGCAGCCCGGAACAGAGTTCTAGGCTGCCAATATCATGTGTGCTAAGGGTACAACTTGCTAAGGGCCCCCAGCACATAATTGCCAATAGCACAGTATGTTCATAGTTGCATAGCTGAAAAGAAACATGTGTCCATCAAGTTCAGCCTTCTCAAATATGTTTTTGCTATTGACCAGTTTGATGTGCTTCCAATTTTGCAACAGACTAGGAAAAAATATCCTTCTTGACCCCAGAATGGCAGTCAGATATCTCCTTGAATCAAGAAGACGTTACCCCACTAATTAAAAATTATTTTCCTGAGCAGTATGTCTTTGCAAGTATTCATCCAATTGCTGTTTAAACATCTGTATAGACTCTGATACAGCCAGCTCTTCGGGCAGCGAATTCCACATCCTTATTGTAAAAAAAAAATCTCCTTTCTTCCAGTCTAAATGTATGATATTGTGAAACACTGCACATATTGACTCCTACCACCATGATGACTTAAAATCACTGACGTTGCCATAGAGGTTGAAGTAACACTTTAACTAGTGTTCTAGCCTATTAGTCTTATCAAAATGATAAGTGCAGGTGATGCTACAACTATACAACTTTTGACACTGTTGATCATCAACAGCTTCTTCTTATCCTCCGCAATATCGGTCTACAAAATATTGCTCTCTCCTGGTGCTCCTCCTACCTCTCCCAGCGCTCTTTCAGTGTTTCTTTCTCTGGCTCTGCTTCTTCTCCCCAACTCCTCTCTGTTGGTGTCCCCCAAGGTTCAGTCCTTGGTCCCCTACTGTTCTCCATCTATACTGCCTCCCTTGGTAAACTCATTAGCTCCTTTGGCTTCCAATATCATTTCTATGCGGATGACACACAAATCTGCCTGTCCTCTCCTGATCTCTCCCTGTCCCTCTTGATGGCAGTCTCTGACTGCCTCTCTGCTATTTCTAACTGGATGGCTGCCCACTTCCTTAAACTAAACTTGACCAAAACTGAAATTCTGGTCTTTACTCCTTCAAGTGTTGTTACTCCTGTGTCTGTCTCCCTTCAAGTCAACGGTGCTGCCATCAGCTCCACCACACAGGCTCACTGCCTAGGTGTTCTATTTGACTCCAACCTCTCCATTAAGCCTCATGTTCAGTCTATCGCCAAATCCTGCCATTTCCATCTCAAAAACATTGCGCGCATCCGCCCCTACCTAATTCCTGTTGCGACTAAGGTGCTGGTCCATTCCACTGTCCTTTCGCGCCTTAACCACTGTAATCCGCTTCTCGGTGGTCTTACGTGCTCCCAACTTGCGCCATTACAGTCCATAATGAATCCGGGACGAGGCTCATCTTCCTGTCCGCCTACACCTCCCACGCCTCACCCTTCTGTCAGTCCCTACATTGGCTTCCTATAAAATATAGAGCTCAATTTAACATTCTGGTTCTTGCTTTCAAATCTCTACATAATGCTGCTCCCACCTATCTATCCTTATACACAAATATGTCCCGTCTAGGCCCTTATGATCTGCTGAAGACTTACGTCTATCTTCTGTCCGTACTCCCACCTCTGATGCTTGCCTTCAAGATTTCTCGAGAGCTGCACCATTCCTGTGGAACTCGCTTCCCTCCTCCGTTAGATGCTCACCCAGTCTCCACTCCTTCAAAAAAACATTAGAAACCCACTTCTTCATAAAAGCGTATCAATTGAACTGTTAATAGCTCCCGACTGATTCCTCTTCTGCAACTGTCACTAGTCTAATACTATCCTTACCTTTTTGTGTCATTTTACTCCACTCCCTCTAGCATGTAAGCTCATTGAGCAGGGCCCTCAACCCCTCTGTTCCTGTGTGTCCAACTTGTCTGGTTTCAACTACATGTCTGTTCATCCACCCATTGTAAAGCGCTGCGGAATTTGATGGCGCTATATAAATAACAACATAATAATAATATCCTCCTCAGCTTAGTTATAGGCCCGATAAGGGTTCCAAAAGTTATTTTCATGAGCAGTCAAAAAGAGCTGCAAAGCACTTTATGGGTATGATTTTCACAGTCAAGAGGTTTGAATGTTTGCAGCTGTAACTTATCACTTACACCACGTTTTATTCCATGATTGTGCAAATACTGCATTAATGGTGAATTAAACACTGTATGTTGAAAGTGTTGTGTTACACCCAAAATTTAGCCTGTTTTTTATGCTAGTAAATACCACAGATCTTTTCAAATCTAAATAAAATATTTTCATACGCAACAGTTTTTCTGGCAATAAATAAATTGGCAGGTAAGTATATTCTTATCTAAATTGTGTTGAATTGCTATTTTTCAATTGACCCTTAGATGGCAGTAGGCTCCTAGAATTAAAGTCCTAACACTACTAACTATTGTTCTATATTCAAGCAGGGACCACTATTAATAGTCAACTGCCATTAAGTGGGTGAAAAAGAAATATTTTGTTAAAATATTTGGGAAGTGTCTCAAAAATTATGGTAAACTGTGCACAGGACTTAAAAGAATGCATATTTTTTTATTTTATTAGGACAAAATTATAGACTGATCATTTATTTGTTAGTGGGCAAACATTCAAAATCAGCAGGGGATCAAATACTTTTTTCTCCTCACTGTAAGTTCAGAGGTCCTTTTTAACCCTGCAATGTTTTAACTCTGTTTTATTCTTTTTTTTAAGGAACCTAATTTCACGGAGAGAATGTAAGAATTTTAACATTTTCATTTGTGCATGTTGGAAATGTTAAGCATATTTTACATTTTGTCTTATATATTTACCTGGTATATTTCTTAACTTATTTTACTTATTTTTTTATTTTTATTTTTTTTAACTTTTTTTTTTTTTTACTTATTAGAAGTGAGTGAAATCTAAACAGTTTATTTGTAATAGTATTGCTGACCAGGTGATGGGCTAGAGAAGGTGGAATCGTTAGAATGTGTTCAGGGCCATGGGATTAATTGGCTTCTTAACCGCTC